GTCAAATATCTGATACCAACAAAAATGTTATTCTTCCAATCCCAATGAGAGATGGAGTCCAGTAGTTCATTCATCTATTTGAACACAAGACCTGATCAATAGGCACCAGGAGTTCTGACCATTAACTTTTCTTTAGAAAAGGCTTGAAAGGATATTGATTGTGCAAGTAAGAAAAACATGTAAAATAGGGAAATAGTGAACTTGCTTGACAGATAAGAACCACCAAATCTCACCATCATATTCTCTTCTAGGATTGTTAAAGAGACTGGTGGTAAAAAAAAACACAACCCAGCCCATTGGGCTTCCCCTCGACACAACCCACCGCAAGAAGATATTGTTCTCTTTAAGTTTACCCTTTCGGGCTTTCCCTCAAAGTTTTTAAAACGCGTCTATTGGGGTGAGGTTTCCACACCCTTATAAGAAATGCTTCGTTCTCTTCTCTAACCAATGTGGGATCATTCCCTTATAAGAGTATAGAAGCCTCTCCCTAGTAAACGCATTTTAAAACTTGAGGGAAAGCCCGAAAAGAAAAGCCCAAAAAAGACAATATCTGTTAGCGGTGGACTTGAGATGTTACAAATGGTATTAAAACCAAGTACTAGGTGGTGTGCCAACGATGACGCTGGCACCCAGGAAGGGTGGATTGTGAGACCTCATATTAGTTGGAGAGGGGAACGAAACATTCCTTATAAGGGTGTGAAAACTTCTCCTTAGTGGACGCGTTTTTAAACTTTGGAAAGAACGCTTCCAATTGAAACAGCTACAGAATTGATGTATTACCATAATCAAGTTTGTAGAAGTTGAGATATAAGATGTGGGTTGTCACGAATGAGATAATTGGAGCAGAGACCATAACTCTATCAGCCTCAACCCTCACATTAAGGGCTCGCAGTATTGCTACAATTAGGGAGAATCCAATAAATGCCGCAGCTGAAGAACAATCCAGCTTCTCAGTCAACTCCACATCTCTACAAGAAATTTAACTCAAAACATCAATGCAGATAGTCAGTTAGAAATGTATAGAAGTAGAGCATATGGTAGGGTAGATCATCCTGTCATTAGTAAAACCATGTTTAAGGGATATAAAATAAGCTTTATTTTTTATATTTAGGGCCACCTCTTGAATTATGCTAAAGCAGCAATGTCATAAGAAATATGTAGCTTGTTAGGAGAAAAAAAATACACAACCAAGGATTAAACTATATAATAGCTGACCTAGAGTGAAATGCAGCATTCCAGAAGCAAGAATTCATAGCTAAGATTCCATAGATATGCCACAACCCTGTATACTCATAGTAGGTCTTCTTATTAGGCTTCAATGGAAGCTTGTAGTATATAAGAATGAAAAAAGATATCCAGCCATGAAATTGCACGGCAAGATTGAGGCTAGCAAGAGCAACTGCAACTGGCTCCTACCATATCAAATGCAAAGTTCAAGATAATAAGCAGAAGAACAGAACAATAGGGAATGGATTTGGCAGCATCATTTACATATGAGGCGTAGTCATTAGGCAAACCTGAATGCCATAGACTCGCCTAAATGGCCATTTCCCATGGTATTTGACAGGCTTATCACCAACATTACTTCTTTCTTCCTCCCTAGCAAGCATGCAGTGGTACCTACAATCGGTCTGGCAGTCCCACTGTTTCCAGCGTAAATACAAAGGTTCCTGCAGATACCATGGACCATCCACAGGCTTCCCATCCGACGAGAATTTGCAATGTTGAAAACATTTGTCCCCAGCACACCCAGATTTCTCACACTGCACCACACAATCCCTGACAAATAATAGCGAAGCAGGTTTACTGAAGTGCAGCATTTTCTCTCCATACAGAGAATGAGAAATGAATCACTGTGTTCCCACTCTATCCAAAATCCAAATCCAAACCAATGTTTTAGGTCAAGGTTCAATGACTTAATACCAACCCACTGAAGCTAATGCCTAAATAAAACGATTCATCGATGCTCAAATGATGAACTAAAACGATAAAGTCTATAATTCATGAAAAAGAGGAGAAAATCTGAAGAGCCCTCTTCGTATTTGGGAATCTCCCCAACAAAGGAATAGTCTACAATAGAACACGATTAAGACGTTAAAAGCTCTGGCGAATTCCTGACAAGAATAGTAGAATGAACAGCTTAAAAATAAGAACCAAAGAATTACGAAACATTGCGACCGTTGATTTGCACACCAGCACAGTACAAACCCCACATATTAAAAAAAGGAATCAATAATCACAAGCAAACAATAAATTAAACACAGAGTGGGAAGAACAACGCATTAAATCAAATCCCCGTTTACGAGACAAGCGTAGAAAAAGCAAAATATGGGAAAATCCAAATGAAGAAGCAGAGGGAAGAGGTATAAGGGTAGAGAGCAAAAAGTGGGAAGGAAGAGGAAATTACTTGTAAATGGGATCAGAGTCGCCGGGGCTGGCGTAGACGGGATGGAAGAAGAAGAGGAAGAAGAAGAAGAAGGAGAAAGCGAGGAGAAGAGGGCAATGAGGGAGGGGGGCCATGAGATACGGACGGAAAGTCAAAGGGAGGTGAAGAGGGAATTGGAGGGAATTAAGAGGAAAAGCTCCATGAATGGCTCTGAAACAGAAACAGAAACAGAAACAGAAACAGAAACAGAAACAGAAACAGAAACAGAAACAGAGTGGGAGGGGAAGCAGAGGATGAAGAACAGTAGAGAAAGAGAAAGAAGGATTTGGAATTAGTTTTTATGGGAAATTGGTTGGGGAAAGCAAACGGGAAAGAGGAGATCGGAATCCTGTTGAGGAGATGATCTTTGGACTTTGTACTCATTGACTTCTTGACACGTGGACGCATCGATGCTCTTCTCCTCCCTTTTACTCAATCATCATCTCTCTCGCCTTCTTTCCTTTGTTATTATTGTTATTACTATTTCTTTCCCTTAAATTTTACATCAAAATACCCTTTTTTTTTTTTTTTTTTTTTTTTTTTTAAAAAAAAAA